ACACACACACATATAATTTATTGTATTTTAAATATTCTAAGGTATATAAATAGCCTAACATGCAACACAGAAACATGTAACGTGTATAACATACAAAGAGTCAGTCATATTATATAACACGTTGTAAGACAGTAATATATTTCATAATATTATTAACAAAATGTTTTTCTTTTGAAGAAAGCTTGTCTTCACTAAACAGTAAGCATCTTTATGTTTTTTCAGAGTTTAAAGGTTAAAATCGTGATGCGAATTATGTGAATAAAACAAGGCTTGAGTTGCATTATTATATAAAAACAACAAGAAGATGATAATAATAAAACTAACAACAACAATATCAGTAATGGTATTGTTGTTGTTATCGTTACTACCACTGCTACTACAGATACTGCTGCTGCTACTACTGCTACTACTGCTACTAATAATCATAATAATAATCATAATCTTATTGTGAAGGGTACGACGAGCACTAAATAGCAAATAATGCCAGACAACAACACAACAGCCCACAACAACACACAACATTACAAACAACAATAGTGCAACAAAAACCACACACAACACTACAGACAACAGCAGTCAACCACGCACAGCCTTAGAAGCACAAAAAACAACACACAACGTTAGAAACAACAACATACAACAACACATAACGTTAGAAACAACAACAATGCAACAATGGCCACACACAACAACATCCACACACAACACTTAACATTAGAAACAACAACATACAACACACAACGTTAGAAACAACAGCATACAACAACACAGAACATTAGAAACAACAAGAATGCAACAATGGCAACACTCAACATTAAAAACAACAACACACAACATTAGAAACAACAACAAGAACGCACAACATCGATAGGGTTAATAACAATCCACACAAAGGAATGCCTATCATGTGATTAATATTATTGCTGTTGTGTTAATGACCGATCTTGCTTCATTTTGTTGCTTAATGATACTTAATGTTGTCATGGTATTTGTATCTGTCGTGTATTTCATGTGTCGATTCGGTATTTTATGCTTTAAAGGTATCTTGCATGTTTGTGTGACTTTCGACTGTTGTAATTTCGACAGACTGTCGGCGAGTTGTTTTGTGGCTGGTAGAGTGGAAACCAATTTGCGCAACTATATAATGTTAAATAAAAATAAATAAAATGAAATTCGATGGAAATATTTTCCAACAAAACTGAACAAAATAAAATTGTTGCTGTGAACGAAACATCTTCAACTTCAACAAACCTAGGTCGCCACATGTCTAACCAGGTGTTCCGTGTTTTTATAAACTCTAAAGAAATATTAACTTTACTACCAATAATATGAATAATAATAATGATATCAAGGAATAATGATAATAATATCAGTAATTATTTCATTTGCGAGGTTCTCCTTATTACTGTGTTATTTTAATACATCAGCTCAAAATTGGCCATAATAAATAAAAAATGAAAACAGGGGAAAGGGCGAATTTAATGCTTTTTAAGTTTAAGTTTGTGATTTATATCTGGCAGTGACAAGTGCGAAGTTGTGCAAGGAAATATTTTTTTCAAAGCACATATTCGAATTTTTTAAAATAATAAATTCTCACTGGAACTTCAGAGCTTGTTGGGCATATAAATCTACTAGTTGTGAACGTGTTAATTTTAACACTTGCCAACAACATTCGTGTATCGTGTAACAACAACATCAATAAAAACAACAACAATAACTACAAAAACATCATCAACAACAACAATAACTACAACAACATCGTCAACTACAATAACTACAACAACATCATCAACAACAACAATAACTACAACATCATCAACAACATCATCAACTACATCATCAACAGCAACAACAACAACAAACGTCGGCGCACACACGCACGTGCTAACATGCAGGCGATGTTTAAGCATCCATGCTGCTGTTTCACAAGTTAACCTCTGAAAATTTTTTTATGCGTTGCTATCATCTCGCCAAGAACAACAACTCATTAAAAGTGGTACATAGCGTGCAACAACACAACATCATTCAACGTAACTTAAAATATAATCATCTTTCCAACAATATGATAACTACCATATAAGATCAACAATGTATATCATGTATAAAAAAAACAACACTGTAACTGACTAACTTATACAAAAAAAATTCGATGATGCGAGATGTTCATTTTACCAATCGACCAATCAACCAACTATCCAAACATCAAATCAACCGACCAACAAACAACAAACTGACCGACCAACCAACCAATTATCCAACTAACCAGCCAGCCAGCCGACCAAGCAAACGAATGCAACAACTTGAAGTTAAAAGCATTCCAGACCCATCCTTGTAATGGCTTCGTTACTGAAACTTCAAGGTTATAGAAAAGCAAAAAAAAAAGACAGAACAAAAAAAACAGATCAAACGAACCCAGTAATATCCAATTTTTTCTTTCTCGCTTGTTTTGTTCTAACTCTAAAAATAGACCGTATGAAAAAATAGTATCAACATCTTGTCATTCGTTCAACGTTGTAAATATGTTTTAAAACCGCATTTAATCACGCACATGTTTCTAAGTTTCAAAGCACGGGTTCGTTCGCTCATGTCTTTCTTGCCTTTTGATGTTAAATAACAGAGAAATGTGAATTTATTTTCTACTTTTTTTGTGGAAAACTTTTTGTTATTTTGTAGAACTGACACAACGTCATTGACGTGAAACTTCGTTAAAAACTTCTGAGTGATCCAAATTTTTTTTTCTGACTTTTTATGAGGAGAGCTTTGTTCTTCTGATGAACTTGAACTGATCACACTGGCATTTGACGTGAGTGGGTACACATGTGCATGTTTCTACCCATAGGTTTATATTATTATTATCATCACCATCATCGTCATCATTTTCATCATCATCTCTCCACCATCTAATACTTTAATACTTTAAAATTTGTTCCCAAACTGTGTTTATATGCATCATGAACTCACTAAATAATACTATCTAAAAATTTTTTTTTTTTTTTTTTTTATGTTATCAAGTTCACACAAGTTCATCTTACCTGCTGTTACAAAGCTTTATAATATTTCATATCACTGGGGTCTATTAACTTTTATATGCAAAGATATCTCAAACAAGTTCATCGTCTCCCATATATTTTATAACTAAACATTTCTCGTTTCCAATTATTATATAAAGAATAATAAATAAGCGTTGATTCGCCTGAGTCAACAACATCAACAACAAATACGTATCATTTGAGGTTTCCATTTTAATAATTATTTTTCGTCGAAAGAACATTTTATTATAGTCTATAAGTTTCGAATCTTAGTTTAATTAATTGTTTCCAATTCTTGGGCTATGTTAGATTAGACTAAAAGATATAGATAAAAAATGATATAAATACTATAATGTATTATACTATGATAACTATAATATATAAAAAATATCGTCATTGTATATTTCTTCGTTTATTTAATACACTATTTTTTATTTAACCTATTTTTTCACTATATTAAAAAACAATTTTCTCTTAACACTCATTCATTTGATAATAATTATTCAATGCATTTGCATTCATTTATTTGCTGGCTTTTTTATATTTGCTCGATGTAACAGAATCTCTGCTTCTGTCTGCCGATGTCTGATTTTTTTTTACAAAAAATCTGACCTATTAATTTATATCTTATTGCTTGTGTGTGTAGTGTGTGTGTGTGTGTGTGTGTGTGTGTGTGTGTGTGTGTGTGTGTGTGTGTGTGTGTGTGTGAACATGTACAGTACAGAACAGAAGAGCAGTAATCTTCTTATCATGTCTGCTGCTTCAACTGCAAAAGAATGTTTTTCTCATATCTATTCGTACACTCTTACACACACATACACTCACATACACACACTCCCTCACACATACACACACACACTCACTCACACATCCACACACACTCACTTTTTTTCTTATTTTCATTGCTAAATAAAATTATTATCGAATATGTCGCGCTTTTTAATTACAATTTATTAATTTTTCAATATATTTATTTCATGTGAGCAGTCATCCTTGCCTTTACTACACTAACTGACTGGCTCACCTTTAGACCAATTTGCAACATTCATGGTGTGATTACGTTAGCGCTAGTGAATCGACCACTTAGAAGTCTTAAACCACAATTAAAGACGAACGCTGCGGTGTTTTTAACGTCTCATTATTTCACGCACACACACTTCCAGACGGCGATTTAGCACGTTTTAACGTCATTTTGTATGAACCAACAACCGTGATGTCTCAATTGTATAATTCAGTATACTCATTACAATCAACCTCATCTTAATTACTAAATGTGCTGCATTGTTAAATGCACCAATCATCATCATCGTTATTATTATTATTATTATTTATAGATGGCAATTAGATCATCTACTTAGCTCACCTTAATTACATTGTTTGTTTACATTCAACTGCCAACCAACTTTTTTAACGACAAGGATGAATGAACAACATTTCTTTGTTGATAGATAGGTAGGTAGGTTTTTGTTTGATGATGATGATGGTGGTGGTGATGGCAGTGATAATGATGATGAGGATGATGATTATGGTAAGGAGAGTATTTATAACTTGAAAAACATCCTTGTCCCTTTTTTGCTTCATTCTCGACGACCGATTCTCGTTTGTTGTTATGAAACATCTGTGTGCTATCTTGTATGTATGTATGTATGTATGTATGTATGTATGTATGTATGTATGTATGTATGTATGTACGTATGTATGTATGTATGTAGGTACGTACGTACGTATGTATGCATGCATGTATGTATGTGCGTACGTATGTATGCATGCATGCATGCATGCACCATGCATGCATATCTGTATTTATATACATGCATGCACTATTTATGAAGCGCGATAAATGCATGCACTATTTATGAAGTTCAAAGGCTCAAACACTATGAATATATGTAAAGCACTATTTTTGTTCACGTTTGTTTGTTTGCCAGTTGACTTCAAACAACTCAACAACAAATGAAGATAATTTTCAAAATGACATCACAATACATCGTTCCAACGCTGGAAATAACGTGCAAATGTGTTTAAAGTAACGCTGCATCACACGCGTCATGGTTACAAGTTTTACTAAATTTTTATGAACAACATCATCAGCAACAGCATCAACAACAACATCAGCAACATATCAACAACAACAAAACATTCCTAACAGCCAACCACCCCACACAACCAGAGGGACAACCAATAAGAATGGAGGAAGGCGTCTGCCACAGATCCCACCCCCCGTCATCCTCCATCGCAAGTCAGCGCTGCCATTTTTTGTTCTATTAATTTTTATTTATTTGATGTTTCAAAATGGCTTCTGGTTGTCTGTCTATTCGTCACGCACATTTTTTTGTTTCATCATTTTATTCAATCAGTGTTTTGTGAAATAATTAACTAAGAAATTAAATATTTGGTTGAAAATTCATTTTATTGAGTTTTATAAATTTAATTATTAATTTAAAATGTTCATTCCCCCATGTCTTGCTGGCACCGAACAGACATTGACTTCGGGTTCGACTCCATCCTGGGCCAACTTGATGACCTTGAACGGCAATTTGAACTGGAGCACGAGAAGGAAATACTGAACAACAGCAACTGTACAAACAACACCAACAGAAACATCAGCAAGACGTCCAACGCGTTGAATGAATTCTCCCTCATCAACTCACAGCTGCAAGATGTTCTGAACGACTTGGCAGGTTTTGGGACTGGCCCAGATGCCCCCTCCTTTGCTGACGCTGATGATGACTTTCCCGAACCCCCCAAAACCATCAACAGATCAGCTTCTTTGGCCATTTCTAAACCAAATCAGCCGAGAGAACCAGCAACAGCGCATCAGTTCACGAAGCAGTCGTCAACACAGGAATTAACATTTTCTCTGCCAACACCTCCATTAAAACCTACAATAACAACACAACAACAACACTTAACAACGCATCAACAGTGCACAACACAACAGCAACTACCACTACCAACACCACCAACAAAATCGAAAGTTCCTCCACCAACTCCAGCAAAAAATAAATCTGTAACCATTCAGAACAATCTTACCATCATCAACAATGATAAGAGTAGCATCAGCAACATCAACAAACTCAACATTACAAACAATGATTACAACGAAAAACACAACGACGACGACAAAATCAACAAAAACAACAACGTACGACAAACCATTCCTACCAACTGCAATAGCGATAACATTTTTTACGGAACCAACCAGTTGCCGTCACATGATATGAAGAGCAACATCGTAAAGAGGATCAACAACAACAACAACTACATCTTACCTAATAACATCAACAACAATAACAACATGCCTTACAACAACACAGCATTCTGCAACAACACTAACATTTATGCTATAAGCAATCCAAACGTAGTTGCAAAAAACATCATCAACAACGATGTAAATTACATCCACAACAATACTAACAGCAGTTGTTCAAACAAAGCAGCACTGAACAACAATATCCGCAACAACACGAACAACAACTTATATAACGATCCTACAAACAATAATAACATGACCAACATTAATGCTATATATAACAATAATAATACAATCAGCGATAATGCATACGTCAACAACAACAATTTTATCAACAACAACAACAGCAACAACAACAACATGTCTCTACAACAAACCGGCTATGACTCATCAACATCTCCTAAAAAATCATCCATGAAAAAAGATCCTGTGCAGGTGATGATGATGACGACGATGATAACGCAATGATTATGACGACGACGACGATGCCTTGATGATGACGACAATGATGATCTAATGATGATCCTACAATGTTGTGGTGGCGAATTTGCAATGATTTAGTGATAATATGACTGTGATACAATGATGCAAGAGTTAAAATGGTTTGGTAATGAATGCTGGCCTCTGTAAATGTGATTATGTGGCTATGCATTTGATGACTTGATTGGATGATTTAATGGTGTAATGATGTCTTAATTTACTGATGTAATGATGTCTTAATTTACTGATGTAATGATGTCTTAATTTACTGATGTAATGATGTCTTAATTTACTGATGTAATGATGTAATGAGGTGGTGGCTTGGAATGATGTTGCGCCAAAATTAAGTCGTGATAGATATAATGTTACTATATGATATCACCACGCAACATGCTGTGATGTAAGATTAACAGGTGTGTGGTGACATTTGATGACTAATAAATGACTTGGTGATAATAGTAAAAGGAAATCTTCTAAAGCGGAAGCTTTGTTTTAAAGAGACGACGTTTGATAATTAGTTAATTAATTAATTAATTAATCCGGATGAACAATTTGAACAATGAACTAATTTAATAGTGACTTAGAAATGAAGCAATTATACTTTATACTTCACAAAACATGTTTATTGCGCTCAACAAAATTTATAACACGCAGCAATAGCAAACAATTAAACCTGTATTTGAATATATATCAGTGATCGGTGTATAAATAGCAACACTAAATAACAAGGTCTAGTTCTTTGAAATAATAATTTGAATATTATAATTATATAACAACATCAACAGGATGTTCTTCTGTCTTTAATTATGTTAATTACGTTGAGCAAAGAACTACTGCTGTCTCTTGTTTGATCTTCAATCTGCAAAATGTAAAGTAAACCATCACCACATCATTCGGCGCCTTTACAAGCAGCTGCGTGGAAATTATCTTAAATTGAAAACATGCAACATACAACAACATACTTTAACAATTCACACTGACGACTTGCTTTAAAGACTCTTTCTTTTAGAAGTTGAGTTGAAGCAAATTAAGGAGGTTGATCTGCTATAAAAACTGGAAATAAAACGGAGCCGTCAAAACGTAAACAAACACAGTTAGCGGCGACAGGCGACAAAGTTTTAAAATGTTCTGTGAAACATTAAGAGTCTATCTCACAAATAACTTGATTTTATTTTTCCTGCTAAATAGTTTAGCAATTGAATTTGTAGTAAGAGATGCTCTAAAAGTGTTATTGAGTATTCTGTCCATCTGTCCATTTTCAACCGGGATCGTGTAGTTACCTGTTCTTTTTCGCTAAAGGTTTTAACGTGATCAGTCTGAAATTTAGACTGGATCATCGTACAACCGTTTGTTGTAAGAACAGTCGAAGTAGTAAAACTACAGTTCCATGCCTTTTATGTAATTGGATTGTAAATCTGTGATAGTTTGTTTTGTTATTTTAATACTTTTAAAAATGATATGCACATGCTGTCCAAGATATGCAACTAATCTCCTGACGTAGGTCATATTTGACACCATTTCAGTTTCAGTTATGGCGTTTATTTAAATTTGAATTAGACTTGATCGACTGTGTTTTAAAACAAATAAAATACATAAGAAATCAAAAATACACTAAAATTAAAATTATTATTTTCGAACAACATGTGAGCAGGCGTGCGTAAAGGTGATGGCGCTTGATGGCTCCGAGAAGATCCTCTTTGTGACCAGCGAGACGACGGTTGGTCAGTTGTGCGACAATCTGGTGGCTGACCACATCACCGCTCCACGCTCAAGTTTCTCACTCTGGGAAGTCATACCTGATCTCCATCTCGGTTTTGTGTTTTTTACAACTTTCTAAATTTTTGATTGCATGAGTTAATGAATGGAAGTTTAATTTTCACCGTTTAAAGCTTATTTTTATATAGTTCGACACTTTTATAACCAATATCGAATTATTATCTGTCAAAAAGAGTGAATGATAAAATTTTTTGTAATCACGAAATCTCATCTGAAAGCGGCAGTTTTCAAAACAAATCAAAACTTATTACTAACTCTCATTCCATTTAATACTGAAATATTATTCATCAGTCTGTTGTTGGTGTTCGTGTATAATTTGTTTGTAGTTGAGATTCACATTCAGTAGCATTTATATCCATTATCACCACCACCACCACCACCACCACAATGAATGTGCTTTTTCATCAAGCAACTTCTGTTCCCAATTTTTTAGACATTTAACACACTTTGTTGATTGATGCTCTGATTAACAAAAATAGCAACTTGAAATAATAAATCATCGTCACTTCTAATTAACATCTGATCAAATAATTCGTTGCAAATGAAGGGAGAAATGTGATCTGATTTGTGATAGTACAAAAAAATAATATTATGAAAATTCTGTGAAACATGAAAACAGAAAGATGCCTGGACGAATGCCTGTTGATACTGAACGATGTTGTGGACTGTTGGACCAAACACTCAACCAACACTGTCGCCATGAAACCCGCCCAAATCAAAATGCTGCCAACTCTTCTAAAGGTTTGTACAATAATTATATTTATCCACTCACAATATTTTCCCGTATAATGTTGTATGTAAATTAGTTTTAGTAAATTTTTATAGTTGTAAAAACAACGACATTTTGGTTTGCTCTAGTTATAAATTATAATAGCATATGTAAATGATACGTCGATCCAACTGGACAAAGCAACAACAAAATGGTTCTCAACATTTCAGAACGATCTCGAGAGCAACTTGTATGCGAAGGTTGACGACAAGAAAACGTGGAAGAATTTCTTGTTCCTCGTCAAACATCCAGGTCTTCTCTACTATCCTAAAGGAAAAGGAAAAGTAAGGTTTCAATTATTTTGGTCATTGCCTGTGATGGTATTTTGTTGTTTCAATGAATTATTGGTTCAAATGCTTTAAGTAAGTCTTGAGTTAGGCTTAAAAATATAGTTTCACAATTTAATTATTGAAATATTTGAATATTTTGTAAAGTTCTTTTGCAAGCAGTAACACGCTTCAGACATCTTTCTGAATGATGCTTGTTTGGAATAATGCATTTCTCTTTTATGCTGATTCAGGTATTATAAATTAGTGCTCAGCTTGTTATATCAGCTCAGCGTTTGTGACACTGGACCAAAATAAATATTCTATCAATCACCAAACTTAAATTAACCAAAAATGACCAGCTGAAGTTTATTTAAAAACTAAAAATACCTTTTGACATTAATTTAATTTGATAAGCATCGTCAGCACCTTAAAGATAATTTCTTTCAGTTAATGGAGAATATTCATTACTTCATAACAAATTGAACGCAAACAGTCTGAAGCAACATTGTACTGCGAGTTGAATCCGCAAAACCACGTGGTCTATCAATGTGCCAACGCCAAGAAGAAATTGAAGGCGCCGACCGAATTTGGATTTGCATTAAAAGTATTGTCAATTTGTTTCATTACAAATTGCTCGGAAGTTTTTTTTCATATTTCCAATTCGAATCAAATGTTCCGCGACCTAAAGTTTTATTAATTTATATTGCTTTGATTATTCCCGTTTTATTAGTTTTTATATTTATTTATTTTCTAATTGCATCTTTTCAAATACTTTGTTATCTGTTTGTTCATGCAGACTTCAAACAGCAACACAACGAAAGATGTGAGATATTTCTGCACTGAAACTGAAGCACTCTACAACATATGGCTGCATGCCTTGAAAACACTTCTTGCTAAAAAAGTTGTTTTGAAAACCTTATTTTATTTTCATCTTTATTTTATTTCATTTATTTTGTATTCATTTTTGTCGATAACAACAATTTTATTACCATTGTATCTGTCTGATATATTTTTTATTGATTCAAGATTGGTGATTCTTTGGAATTATTAAATTGTTTAATAAATTGCTAAGTGCTCAATTAATTTATTTTAACAATTTCTTTCTTACGCTAACAAAATATTAAAAAAACATTTAATAATAACTAACTTTTTATCAAACATTTTAGACATCCGAGATGGATTATGATTGCGACGCGGCACCATCACTTCAATGTGTTTCTACTCCCACCGTCATGAACAATCTTGTCGGAAACAGCAACATTTGCAACAGTGTAAGTTCTTATGAGGAACACAAGCCCGCCGAAACTTCCATCACCACGCCCGATGCACCAGCCAACTTGTACGTCTCTGACGCCAATGTTTATTCAGAGCCGTACGAATTGTCTCAGATCAACACACTGCGACGTTTCTCAAACACCTCATCGTCCTGCAGACCGGACATAGCAGAGAGCTTGGTTAGTCCTTCAATTAAAAAGACAGCCGTCCTTCCCATCTCAACAGAGACCACCAGACTGTTGCAATCCATGCAAAACACTAACATCCTTAAGAACGGAAATGTACTGAAAACTCTTCCGAAACCGGTGAATAAAGACTTATTAAAACAAACTACCATTGAAAATCACGTTCGAATTCAAGCAAATCAAAATGATTACACGCCTTCGCCAACGCATATGAAATCTCCAGAACACCATCCAATGAGCAATGTCATCAAAACTCTACCTAAACCAACAAAATCCAATTACACAAAGACGCAAATGTGTCAGGAAGATGATCTGCCGCCGCCACCTCTTTCTATTCTCAACCGAAATCAAAATGATGAGTCCTTCAGGCAATATCAAACTATCTCGTCTGTTCACAAATCTCGAAATCTACCCCCACCGCCTCCGAAAAGGGACCAGAACACAAAACTTAGCAATATTCAAACAGCTGATTGCAGCATTCAAACCAAAAATTTTATTCTCAACTTGGACAGAACAATCGGCATGAAGAAATGTTTTGGAGCTGAAGGTCTTTGCAAAATGGAGATGCCTTTGCCTCCTCCACCCGTCGTTTCAAACGAACTTTCTTATATCGACCTCGGAGAGCTGCCACCACCGCCAGCCGAACTTCTGCAGGGACTCAAAAAGATGAGGAACAATCCTTCCTTCTACCACGTTGCTAACAATTACAACTAACTAAATTTTTTGAATTCGTAGTATAAAAAGTTATCATCAGGTCGTAAACTTTCGATTTTTGCACTTTTCAATTTTTCAAATTCAACTGCGTTGACATTTCATCTGGGTTGTGTCACCTCTACAGCATCGGTTACTAACAATCTGATAGTGAATTCTAAATATTATCGCAGGTAACAAACGTGTAATGCCTTGACTTTAAAAATAAATAATGAAGACTTTGATAATACCTTAGAAACTTTAAACATTTATATTTGAGGTTTTTGATTTTTATTAATATTTTACCAAAATTGAAAACAATTTTTCAAACTTATTAAGTTTCCAATTATGATTTTGATAGCGAATTTATTAATTTTCAATAAATAACAAACATTTAATGATTTACTACCCTTAACTAAACGACTACTTTTTATTTTGGGCAACATTAAATGACGAAACCACTGAGTCGACATTTTTCTTGACATGTTAACAAAAAAATGAAGTATTCAAAAGTTGACATCAAACAAAGGCGTTATAACAATAAGACAGTTCTGTCTTCCATGGTTAAGACGAAAAATATCTTTTTTTAATTAACAACAAAATTAAAACGAAGTAATACAATTTATTTAGTGTGGAAAAAGCTTGGATGAACTGAAGCCTGGTTTGTTTGGATGTGTTGGCTATTTTGCTGGGACATTAAGATGATTCAAACAAATGCAATTCCAATTTAGACAATTATATAAACCGAACTGCTCATTTACAAGGACTGAGAGTAGGCATGATAATCACATAACACATAAATCTAGAGCTCTGTCTTGTGCTGTATTTAATGTTCTCCGGGAGAACTTTAGACTGAAATTGCCCTATGGTATTCTTTTAATTATAAGCTCTACCTGGAAGCAAATCGTCGTTGACGCCACACATTTATTGTCGTTTATTGATCATTTATTGGTTTTTGACAAGACGGAAGCAAATGTATCTAAATTCAAGTGCTATTGTTCAATTCCCATGTTAAAATTTCAAAAACCATTTTTGGCTGGTTTCTTATGTGTTCACTTATTATATGAGCTTTTATTGAAAATGTGCGCACTTTCTTTAATTCGCTGTTATAACAATATTTTTAATTTAAACAGAAAACATTACAACAAAAATATTTTAGCTATTGCGGATATTCTAACCGAAACATTGCACCAGTTGAAATAGGCACCCCAGTGCCGCTGAAGTTATACGTAGATCACTATGTTCTTTTCTGGCGCTTTTAGGGGAAGAGTTCCACAAATTTGTGACACTGACATGGGGAGAGCATAAAATCTTATGTAACTTATTTTTGTTTTGGTTTGCACCTTATCGATTTCTTTCGTGAGTTAATAAAAATTTTGTTAACAAATGTTTATCAAAAAGGGTTATGAAATTTTATAAATGATCAGAAAGTTGCCTTTTTTATTAAATTATTTATTTAGATTCAACGCCATTTGATATAGTTGATTCGAATTTTCAATACTTCAATTTTGATTATTCGTAAAATAATATTGATAATAATCTGCATATAACATTCTAAATGGTAAAATCAACAGAAATTTCTGCTATATACATTCAATTCAATGAATCAGATATGGTAATTTTCATTTCAAAAAAATACAATTTAAATATTAAAAGCCGATTGGTTTCTCAAGTTGTGTATTGTAGCCTGTCAGCAACGAAATCGGTTCGCATTTGGATTTGGCAGTTGAAAAACGGTGATAAATTTTAACCTTAAATATAATATGGACACTAAGAAGCTGGTCGTTTATGTTGTTGAAAATCATAACGAGGTTAAAATATTTAAAAAAAAATGATTTTTATATATAAGAATGCGAACTTAACGTTGTAGAAGTTTATACTGTAGCCCTGTGAAGTTGGCTAAGTGTTTAACGAAGCAACCTATAAATTATTTTTATAATGAGCCAGGCAAATAACAATTGAACGGAGATGCATATAATATAAATAACTGAGTTTATGTTTCATTGTTTAGTTAAATAATTCAAAACGTTTATAAAAACATTACTCTTATATGTGGTTAGAAAAAAATTCATTTATCTAAAATAATATAAACTGTGTTCAAAACCATTTTAGTTGTTTCTAAATACGTTTTTTAATGATTTCTATTTGATTAAACATATTTGATTCTATTTATATTTGGTTCAAAGGTTTTAGAACCCCTATATCGGTTGATCGGAAAGAAAAAGTTACCGTTTGATGGGATGTGCTTGTTGCATTTTGATTCACATTCTGACATTTCCGTTCCTCAAAAATTGTACACAGATCTAGATGGCAATTTAAACAAATACGAAGTGTTCAGGTTTCAAACTTTTGGTTTAATACACTTTTCAATGCATTTTAATCACATAAAAACATCTAGCGCTGGATTTAATACACTTTTCAAAAAACATCTAACGTTGGGTTTAATGCACTCTCAATGTGTTTTGATCACACAAAAACATCTAGCGCTATTAGTATAGAAAATTGGATCATTCCTTCTGTTTACTCTGGTCATATAAGCGAAGTTGTCTGGGTTCATCCATATTGGACGCATCAAAGTTTCGACACGCAAACTATTTTTAAAGTTGGAAGATCCAAACTTGATAATTCATTAAAGTATGTTTAGAACTATTTTATTGAATTCATTACTTTTACAAACACACTTGAATTGCTGTAATATTGGCAGGGTCTCTTCAACAGATAATTATTTTCTTAGCGAAGATTCACACGAATTTGAAGAAAATTTGTCAGATTGCAAAACGCTTCAATTCCATCTTCATTGCGTTCCACCAGCTAATAGCAATGCAAAAACAGAAATAATTTCGAACGACTTAATAGACAGTTTGCAGACCAGCAGATTTATACTGGATATTGATCTCGATTTTTTTTCAACCAAGAATCCTTTCAAACACATGTTCACTGAAAGGCAATATGAATTATTACAGAATATTTATAAATATCATCCTCCTTTAAAATCGGATTTAAAAGTAAGTGAAATTGTGCTCATTTTTTGAAGTTGATTCCATTTAGACCATTAAATTAAAAAGAATCATCACGTCGTTACTTTCGGACTGAAAAACTGGTTCAGGAGTAAAAAATTCAAAACATGCTAAAAACCTCAAAGATTCTGTCATTCGTAGATCCTATCATTCTTTTCCTGCATGCCCTATGGATGAAATTGATTTTTTTTATATGAAATTTTAAATTGAGCAGCAGAAAATTTAGATTAAATAAATATATAATATATATATAAATATATAATATATATATATATTTTTTTCCTTATTTCGGTGTATGCGAATAAGAATTAAAATCAAAATCAGAATTTACAACATAACTAAAATAAGAGGACTAAACTAAGTTATAAAAATCGTTTTCAATTTAATTTAAATTTAATCGATAACATAGGAAATTAAACTATGCAAGGACAAAAGAAAGTTACAGATTCAATTTTTAGAGAAATATTTTACTTCCGTTCAAAAAGGAGGCGTACTATTGAAATCTAACAAGTATTGGGCAATATTATAATCTGTGAAATTTTAATTTAATTCATCTTCTCAACGTTTAAATCAGTACGAAATTAGATGAAAAATTGAAAGAATTAGTTGACAGCCTAAAACAAAATGACCCATGCTATGATTTTGAATGGTTACACGAGATAGGTACCGGTATAGATGATACAAATCTTCCGGATCATGTTAGCTCTGAACACGAAATTGACTACTTGATTTCGTATCTTGAGAAATTGTTAATTAGACTTCCAGAACCGTTGGTGGTGCTGATATCACGGTTGGTTTTTGATGTATAGTATGATATCTGAATGTATAACATCATTGAAATTCAAAAACTTGTTAGTTTAAAAAAAGTTTGTAGTCAAAAAATATTTTCCAGATCGACCGAGGATGATTACTGTCCAGCCGGACAAGTGGACAACATCCAAGAAAAAGTTTTGAATCTTTTGAAAACTTTGTACAAAAATGTTGATATAAACTTTTAGAAAATATATTAACTTTTAAAAATTTGATACCAGCTCTTTAAAATGTCATAAAACTTTTAATCAATTTTAATAATTAATGTTCAATCAATCGATTAATTCAACCAATTAATTTATTCTTGAAGTGATTTATTTTCGTAATGTAGGTGTATTTTATGTTGATTTACTGTACATGCTTCGTAAACATCATCGCAACTCAGCGTTTAATTAGTGTTTGCTAAAGTAGGTGTGATTTACACATC